AGCGGAAAAACACTCAAGTAGGCCGGTAGGCCGATACTGCACCCCACTGCAGTTGGCGTGAGGGGGGTACTGGAGGCCGAGCAGAAAAAGACAAAGTTGGGATTTTTAGAGTCCAGTAGCGGTAGGGTAGGTCTAGGCCGGTACCAGTCCAACCAGTGTAATATCAGGGTCTGCAATGATGTTTCCCTCCGAAACGGAGGAGGTACCAGTTGCTTGGAGAGGCCGAGCGGCCTGGAAGTCACCGCCTAGGAGGCAAGTAGGCCGCTCTATCAAGAGGCAGGGCAAGGAGCCCGGCCTCATTCTTCAGTGTGCGAGTTGGGCGTCACGCTGCTGGAGCGCTAGGTGGTGAAGCGCTGGGCACTACAGCGCTGCTGGGAGGAAGAAGCCGGGAGCTTCCACCTTGGCTATGGTGGAGCTCTACCAGTAGGAGGAGGAGGGAGAAGGGGACCAAGGGGGAGAGTGGCGAGGTACTTACTGGCTATGGTAGACACCATCTTCATCTCCTTGCTAGGCGCTGCATCAGGAAGGCCCCGGTGGGGGTAGTGCCGCATCAAGGAAGCTCGGACAGAGTCGGGCATGGCGGTTGAGTGGGCAGCGGCATAGCTGCTGGGTGATGACCTCGAAGTGGGCAGCGGTGTAGCTGCTTGGGGGTTGTCTTTGGTACCAGAGGCTGAAGCCTCGGTTGTCCGCCATAGCCTCGGCCTSTACGTGGAGGAAGAAGAAGGGCAGCCATGGCTATGGTGGACCTCATCTTATGCCTGCAGTAGAAGTGGGATTCGGACATTGATTCTGGTTCAGCTGTTCAAACATTATTATTGTTTATTTATTGTTTGAATAAGAGAGGAGGAGATGAAGAGGAGGAGGTTGTTGAGCGAAGAAGAAGAGCTTTGTATTTGGTCTATGCTGGAGTACATCATCTCTTTCTTCTTTCTTACTTCTTCTTCTTCTTCTTCTTCTTTCCCTCTCTCTCCTCTCAAGTTCGTTCATTTCTTTTGCAATTGGACGGCATTGGGCTCAAGTTCATTCATTTCTTTTCGCAATTGGACAACATTGTATTTTCTGATGATTGTGGACTTCAAAATTGGCCAGGATCGTAACATAAAGAAAACCCTTCCATCGCCTCCAGTCATCAATACAACGACAATTGACTCTTCCTAATGGCATCCTGAACATGCGTGCTACTTCCTAGTCTGTACAGGTTCAGCCTATCTACATCCCAACTATCATCCACGTTTCAGTCACCCAATGCCACTTGAAGACTCTGATTGAACAGCCTGCCTTCGCCATGGACCAGGTACATGCCTTGTTCTCATTACCTCCCTTCACTGTCCTTCTCCCTGAGAATGAGGCACATACTGGGTGCATGATGAAGGATGGCTGCTCGATCAGAGTCTTCGAGAGGCATTGGGCGATTGGCATGTGGATGATTGCTGGCATGTAGACAGGCTAGACGTGTACCAGCTAGGAAGTAGGATGGGTGTTCAGGACGCCATTAGGAACACTGCATTGTCGTTGTTGATGCTTGGAGGTGGTGGAAGGGCTTTCTTTATCAAGAGACTTCCTTGTATTGCTCATTCCTATTTGTGTGCATTTTGCTTTGATCTCTGCTTTCATTTGGGCTCAATTATGTCAGGTCTTCTGTGAGATGCGGGGCAACCTGGTTTATCGTTGTTCTTGTAGCTTATTTCCTTGTGCACTTTGGTATCGGAGCTGTTCTTAGGCACATGCCATCTGGTGGTGGCGAGATGGGTTGGTTTGGTGATCGCCGGTTGACGAGCAGTGTGATCACATTCTTGGTGGAAGAAGGTCATGGACGACCTACAGCGTGCATGGCCGGAAGGCTATAAGCTGGGGTATATCATGTGCGTTGGGAGTATGATAATGCTCACCATTGCTTCTGGAGGCACTTGCATTGTATTGTCGGTGGCTTCTTAGCTTCGACCGGTCAGTGAACGGGCCACATTGGCACAATGCCCGAATGTGTGAGCCTGGGCTGCTTCCTCTCTGATGTGCTGGATGGCAAGGCTGGAGAGGCCGCACCCAGGCTGTGCCATGTCCCAGTTTCCCACGCCCGGGCCCTTCCATAAGTCCATGCAGGCCCACCATCTGCAACTAACTTGTGGGCTGCACGCGTGCTGGCAACTACCCAGGGTCCCCTTCTTCTTACATTGGCCGTTTCTTAGGACCAAATGCATTTTTGCCAGGCCCGCCTTCACTTAGGGCGAGCAGGGCCTTTTGTGGCTAGCGAAGGCCCTGATTCCTCCCATTCCAATGCAGCCAGTCACCTCAGTGGCTACATGTGGACCGGCAAGGGTGGAAGAACAGAGCTGTAAGCACTGGGCAGTGGGGGTTCAAGTGGGGTTGAGAGAGAGCGAGAGCGAGAGAGAGAGAGAGAGAGAGAGAGAGAGAGAGAGAGAGAGACCCTGCATTCCAAAACTTGACCATCATGCACACTCTCAACTATCATGGACCGTCAGAGCTTTGGCTCCATTTGCATGGTATGTTGGGATGGGTCTAGAGAACAGGGCACGATGATGGCAGCAGATGAGTCTGGAAGAGTTCAGATATCAGAACTTAGGCTAAATCCCTACTGGATCCCTGATCCAACGCTTTCCTGACGGGTATGGAGGTTCACAGAAATTTTGGTCATGGTTTAAGGTCACTGGGAGACTGTCAGCAGCCTGACGTGGTTGGCCCCAATGTGCCAATAATGCAATGTTACAAACCCCAAGCTGAGGCACAGAAGGACCCCTTGCCTTCCTGTTGCACCTAGCAAGGAACGGAACACCTGATTCAGTGATCTCTCCCCCTCCTCTCCATTGAATTTTCTTTTTCTCTTCAGTA